ATTCATGACGGTCGTCTTCGAGTACAGAATCCAGAGGTTGGCAGTGAATATTTCGGAGACAGTAGGAAAGCGTAGTTCAGGTTCGCAGTGGATATCGTAGCAGAGAATAGTTCTTCCTTCTGGCATCTTCGCCTGACAAGTAAGCATTGGTCATTCCGGTAGGATAAACAAAGATTGCCGCCTTTATACACGACGGATACAATGTTCTGCGGCTTCTGATTGGTCAACCTTCTATTGGTAGACTATAAAGGGAATTAAGTCATTTTGACTAACTCACTAGTTACACACACATATACACAAAAACTGTAACAATCTGCATATACAAATTTGTTTGTATTGCCCATTTCGTTTTCTTTTTGTCAAGTGTCGGATTTTGTGGCAACACCCTGTATATCTGTTTTCAAAAGATTTCTTTGGTGCGGTGAGACGATCAATCTCTACTCACTTCGAAGCAATGCTTTTAACAACAAATTTTATAATTAGTGTGCATGCAGTTCAATGCCAAGCTGTGCCAATCGAATGTAACGAACACTTAGGTGCAGATACCTTTGGGAAAGATATGAATCCATCGTTTCCCCGAAGCTATGAATCCTCTACGCGACTCTTTCAACATCTTGATTATGGGATTATTTTCTCTTTGAGATAGATGTGCTAAAATACGTCCACGATTATCCGTACATCGATCTGCCCTTGTTCCGTTTGCCGGACGTGAAATGAAGAAAAAACAACACCCAAACATTTTTCAACTATTCAAATTGAATCCATTCTAATATTTAATCTCAGAAAAACGTTTTGAGACTTTAGAAAAAGAAGTGTTGGCTCCATTTCTTTAGGAATGATCGCAAAATCAGTGAAAGACAAATCTTACAGATGCATGTTGGGATTTCATCCTAGCCAAGTCTCATCCGCCATATATTAGTTCTCTCTTGTCTTGAAGTCAGAATGCTGCCATCTGTTGTATTTCTTTTAATGTGTTAACAACATTTTTTAGTTTATGAACGAACGCGTCTAAAATCGTCCTCATATCACATACCTACATGTTTCAGAACAACATTTACATCCGTTGATTTTTCCGTCAGCAGCGGGACAGCTCGGCATGTCTATATACGGACCACTCTGCAAGTTGTCAAGATACGCGTCTTTGTAAGATGCCTCGTGGTGGGAAACAGCAGTCGGCAGTTGGGAAGACACGGTGTCTTGTGAAGTCGGTTCCGTGGGCGTTTTGTCCCTCAAATTGCAATGATAACAGCAAAAATCGCAATATGAGTAAAAAAAAAAAATAGATGCTGGAGACATTAGGTTTATAATACCCAGAAATTCATACACAGATGTTCTCAGGCACACATGGCACAGTGGATAAAGGCGTTAGAGTTGTGAGTTCAATACCTGGTTAAGGTAGTGGAGAACTTAGAGAGGGGAATTAACAGGAGATTACTGACAGACATTAGACATGGCAGGTGGAACTAGAAAATTCTACCCCAGTGAGCGAAATAAAGGGTTCAGTTCGGCATTACAAACATCTGAAAAAGGCCGGAGCGTACAACGGCCGAAACGTTGTAATAAATATGGCGACAAAGATGAGGACAATAGTCCGAATAATGTAAATAGTGTACATAATATCTCATCTCAGAAATATAGACAGATACTGAAGGGTCGAAACGTTGTAATAAATATGGCGACAAAGATGAGGCCAATAGTCCGAATAATGTAAATAGTGTACATAATATCTCATCTCAGAAATATAGACAGATACTGAAAGACCGAAACGTTGTAATAAATATGGCGACAAAGATGAGAACAATTGTCCGAATAATGTAAATAGTGTACATAATATCTCATCTCAGAAATATAGACAGATACTAAAGGGCCGAAACGTTGTAATAAATGTGGCGACAAAGATGAGGCTAATAGTCCGAATAATGTAAATAGTTTGCATAATACCTCATCTCAGAAATATAGACTGATACTGAAAGGCTGAAACGTTGTAATAAATATGGCGACAAAGATGAGGACAATAGATCGAATAATGTAAATAGTGTACATAATACCTCATCTCAGAAATATAGGCAGATACTCTAGGTGTTAATCTCAACAAACTCTTACACTAAAACTTTACTGCTGTTTTACCATTTTTGACTTGCATATATTGTATTCATAATATTATTTTTGCCTTGTACTTTTCGTTTGCTATTGTCAATTCTCTTTGTTGGGTATTTCTGCCAATTAAATTTAACCATAGCCAATTACTCTAGAAAAAAGAAGCAGATAACATCAGTTCAATTAATTCTTGTTAATTCCCTCATTGCTTTCATACAAAGAGATTATGGCTTACGCATCCCTCAGATGCGGGTGATAATCCCAAACCAAGCTTCAATTGAGAATGAAATAAAAGATGAGACGTCTTTTTATTTACGCTACATGCAGCAAAGTATTTACACAATTTACATTGTTCGAGCTGTTGTCCTCAACTTTATAGTCATATACACGACGTTTCGGCCATTGTGCTTTTGCGAAGAACCTCTCCAAACGGAAGCTTCTTTTTAGCAATGAAATACAAAGGGATCGAGGAAGGTTAATGCCTTCCTGTACAACAAACAACATATAATCTAAGATCGTCATTCTTGAAGCTAAAACCAATAACCAGCAAGTACCAATTACACACAAGCTTTTCAGCTGCAATAAATAATAACGGTTTATATACATAAATTATGTATGTTCCAAAGGTTGTCATAACCGGGGTGATAGTGGGGGTAAGCTCTCACTGTCTGTAAAATGCTTCCTTGTATGCGTCTCAAATAGCCTCTCACAACTCCAGGTCCAAGCTGAAGAAGGGGCGGACAACTGGCGCCTCATAACCAGCTGTTTCGTATAGACAGGGCAGCGGAAAGAAAACTCTGATTATAAAACGCCGCTGCCTTGCAGTCATATTAAAAAAAAAAAAAACGGAAGAGTCTATGCAAGTAAATCCAAACAGAAAACCTGAAGTGGTGCCTCCGAGGCGGTTGGCTGTAAACGCTGACAATTCCACCCCCACCAACTCCTGAAGCGAAGCTGTTCACAAATGTTTACACGGTGAATGTCATCAATAATCTAAATTTTTTTTTATTTTTATTAATAAAGTTCGTACAATTCAACTCTTAAGAGCTACCTAAGGTAGAGCGTTACTGAATGTGGTGCATTAGTAGAGGGAGAAGGAATTGAACATTAAGGGGAAATGAGAATAAATAAGCAATTGAACTTTTATAATTCTTCCTACATTTTTTGATTCGGTCGGAAAAACACGTAGAACAGGAAATTGTTTTTTTTTAAAGACTAGTTGCATGAATTCTTCAAATTTAACCATCGTGATATTTTGTTTGCGAGCCATTTCCCCTTTGCGTGATTGGCACGTGTACGTACGCACACACGCATACACACATACTCACCCACAAAAAAAAACACACACACACACAAAAAACAAAAAAAAAACAGTTATTTCTTTTAAAATATTTCAGCTTGAATAAAACAAACAAACAAACTTCAAGAAAAAGCAATCTTGTCATTTCTCTAAAGAAAACAAACGAATACAGAGGCGACGTCTGTCCGTAGTAGGTACCCCCCATAACGGGGTAACGTTACATCAGACATGGTGGAGTCAAGCAACGACAGTGATGTGTGGAGACTGAGATATGACACTGATTAGAGAGAGAAAAAAGAGGAAGATGGAAAAGCAGTTAACTAAAACTATAGATAAAACAGAACGATACATGTATAGGCAAGTGGAATGTTTACTGTTTCGCGAGAAGACACTTTAAAAAAAAATGGACGACATAAGAAACGATTGATTGAAACTAATTATATAGTAGTGGTGCTTGTGTGCGAGTTAAGCGCGGACACGTGTATAAAGTCGTAAATGTTAATGAGCTTCTGTTAAGCCCGTCATTGTCAAATTGGGACGGAGAAATACACACCAGCAAGTCTTTCCTTAGACATTGTTAATAATTTGACAAGATGGTGAGGATGTTGACCATGTTCGCCAAGTCTATGAATATAGAATACAGCGCAGTACGTAATCTGTTCAATAAAACAACGTTAACGATTAACACTCACCAGCAGCGGTTCCGTAATTCTTCAGTCTTCGATATCAAAGGCTGGCAATGCATATTCGAAAAAAAAACATGGCCGCCTTTATACACATCGCATTGAATATTCTGAGCCTTCTGATTGGTTAACCCATCTATTGGTGAACTATAAAATGAGTCAGCTCATTTTGGCTGGCTCACTAGTCCTAAAGGATACCCAAAAATTCCAACAGAGGAGTCATATTTAAGACCGAATATATTGGCCCCGGTTTTGCTAAAATACCGAGAAGGCTATCCTAAGATTCTGATTAGATAGTTATGAAGATATCTTGATAAGTGACGTTGATGTCTCTGCAGGTAGTGTAACGTCTATCGGCACGGAAAATGAAATTTTCGGACTTAGTTCAAATGCCTGTTGCAATCTCTTTGTTTGCTGCTTTGTGATTAGCAAGATATCATTCTCTACGGATTATTTAATGCCAAAATCTAAATATCCTGAACATAATTTGATGGAAAACTATTTACACTATTCGGACTATTGTCTTCATCTTTGTCAACAGGCTCATCACAACGTTTCGGCCGTTGTACGCTCCGGCCGTCTTCAAATGGTTGGAGTGTCGAACTGAACCCTTTATTTCGGTCACTGGGGTAGACTGTTCTAGTTCCATGTGTTATGTCGAATGGATGTCATCTATCTCCTGTTAATTCCCCTCTCTAATTTCTCCACCGCCTTAATCAGGTATTGAACTCACAACTCTTTGGGTCCTGTCATTGGATCTAACTGATGCCTTTATCCACTGTACCATGTGTCCTTGAGGCACACGGCACATTGGACAGATAATTTGATGGCTGCAACTAAATATATTTACGAACGTAATTGAATGCCTGGATATGACTTGATTTATCTTCCACACCTCATCAGAAACCTTGCTAAAAAGTATGATAATTAGGTGTCTGAAAGCAACTGAATTGGGCTATCTCAGTCATTTCATCTCTCTTTTTCTCTCTCTCTCTATTAGTCGGTTCATATCTATCTATCTATCTATCTATCTATCTATCTATCTATCTATGTTGTAGCATACCTACGGACGATAATGGGTATGTCCCCATTCACATAAATACAGTAGTAAATACTGTATGTTGGTCTGCAGTTGGAGATTCCTTGTGGAATCCACTTGACTCACTTCTAGCAGTTGACTACTTTTTCTACGCACCGCTGGCGAATCTTATGTGTGTTGTTCTTGTCCTAAGTATTATCGTTCATTACCAAACTTCGTGTGATTATTCTACTCAGTAATCTTCTCAAGGTTACAACACTATCTATCTATCTATCTATGTATCTATCTATCTATCTATCTATCTATCTATCATTTAATTTTATGGAATGGAAGAAGAGTAGATAGATAGATATATGTGTTTTAAAGGATTGATGATGTTTTGATCAATATTAAATATAAATCTCTCTATTTTTTTCCCTTTTTTTTTAAAACTTTTCTCAATCTCTGTAACCCCTTGCATTACTTCCACAATAAATTTATGGTATGTTTCGAAAAATCAATCTCTTTGGGTTAATTAATGCCGAAATCTAAATATTGTCATAATTTTTAAAGGTTCAACTGCTTTATAATATATTTGAACGCAATTGTAAATTTAACTGCAGATAAAATGTGTTATTTGTCATTTTATTATAAATTGGTCAATTCTACTATAAATATGTATTCAGGCTTTTTGAATTTGTTTATTGCATATCAACAAATAATATGGGTTATTTATCACCGGAATCTAAATATTTTGAACACAATTATTATCAAAATTCAACTAAGTATATTTTGAACATAATTTTATGTCTTCAACAAAGATAAAATGTATTTTTTAGGCAATTCACACCATGCAAGGCAGGAGTGCTATTAGCACGCAAGGGGTTACAGAGGATTGAGATGAAATTATTTAAAAAAGGCGTGTTTGAGGAAAGGATATAAAAAGGACGGGGAACAAGATCAAGGTAAATAGAAGATGTCGATTGACATTATTTTGAATATTTGAAGATTATAATCAAGGAAGAAAGCAAGAGGAAAGGAGTTCCATAGACGGGAAGAGCGAGAGAAGAAGCTGTTTGGGTAAAAGAGACGGTTACATTTAACCGTTTTTCTTTCAAATTTTTGGGGACCGAGATGCCAAACTAGTAGCTCGCTTAAAGTCATGCAGTCTGGGAACCAACAAAAGTAGCTTGTCGGAACAGTTGCCGTGAAAATACTTGTAGAAGAGACAGAGGGAAGCCACCTCACATCTGTGAGAAAGCAACTGTAGACGAGATGTCAGATCAGGACCTATCACATTGCATATTCATCTCTGGATTTTGTTGTGGACCTCGAGGCGTGTACGTCTCGAGAAAGGCAACAGACAATATATGACAGCAATATTCCAATATTCCATATTGCTTGCAAGGACGGATGTTTTTTTTTTGTTTTTTTTTACTATAAACATGTATATTTAATGTTTCATTTACTTTTTGCTTTTTTTTTTTGACAAAATTGGGTTCCCTAAAAGGTGCTGCCACGCCGAGCCAGGGTGGGATAATCTAAATGTTTAATGAACAACAGCAATTGAAAATTGGTACCACGATTTTCGAAACCTCCAAACTCCCGATTTAAATATTCTTAGGAAAGGCTTTAATCTTCCTGCTTACTTCACGACTATGAGTTAAAAAGTAACTTGTCTAAAAAAGTAAAAAATAATAATTTCAGATTTTTTTTTTCGGTAGTGTTAGGGTTAAGATATGTATCTCATAATGGCACGTAACTGACTATATCTATCTATCTATCTCGGTCTAAAATACATTTATCTATCTATCTATCTGTCTAAGTCTATTCACATTATATATAAAAATATAGCTATCTATTTTTTTTTTTTATAGTTTTAAATTCGAGTCGAATTAATTAATAACTTAAAATGCTGATATAAAAAAATATGAACGCTTTTTTTTCTCCACCGCCACCAGGTAAATGAAAGGTTTTATAGCCCTGGTCTAAAAAAAGAAAGAAATGGCAAATAAAACAAAAAATAATCTGTATATTCAGTCATGAATCGAATAAATACATGATTAAATGCCTAAGTTTAAATCACGCATGGCACATAAATGACTGACTGGCGTGCTAATACCCTTGGGAAAGGTATGAATTCTCTTCTTCTCTCACCAGCTATGGATAGACCGGGTTCTATAGGCTTGGATGGCAACTGGTCTACGCCATAAAAGATATCACCGCTTCACCATGTATATGAATGAAAAAGATATATATATCATCCAGAACGTATCTATAAATAAAAATATGCGAAAAGCAGAATGGTATATTTTAATTCTAAGCGTCGCAGAAAATTAAATTTCGGCATTAAATCACCCATAAAGAGTTGATATGCCGTTAAACGAACAAAACAGACGAACCAGTAAGAACATTACATTTGTTCTCTCTGGACTTTCTGTATTCTTATGCAAAAGCGGACAAAAAAAGAACGAAAGATCTTGGAATATAACACGCAATTTCAGCATGTCCCTTCACTAATTTCCAGGTATTTCAATATACCTAGATTTCCTACGAACTGATAATCAGTTTCGTATTTAATGAATTTAAGCGTAATATTAGATCGAAAGATAGATTTCATTTCACCATTGAAATTGCTAAATGCAACCGTAAGTCCTATTTAGATAGTTTCTTCTCTCGAACTTCTTGCCTGTGGAAGTCTCATTGTCCTTTCTTCACGATAACGGTTTCTCAGTTTAGGTCATCTTGTTATCTTTCATCCATTTTTTAAAATTTTTTACCTTTTTAATCGACTTTCCATGAATATTTATTTTGGGGTTAAATGATGATTACATAAGAACTGAATCAAAGTGTGACAGTCAAACATTAACAAAATACTGAGTTGAACTTAATGAAAATTGAATTTCTCTAACAGTTCAAGTTTAGCATAAATTTTTTAACGCGAATTTTTTTGTGAGTATTTAAATCTCGGAAGATTTTTTTTAAGATTTTTTTGTAATGATGCGGGATCATATCAATTATTTATATATATTTATTATTATATTATATATATATATATATATATATATATATATATATATATATATATATAACACTTTAAATATTATTTTATAGATACAATATATATATATGTATATATATATGTGAAAAGTGTATATAAATATGAATAAATATATATATGTATAATTATTTATATATTATATGCGCGGTACTTATTAGAAAGCGCTCAATATCAGAGATAGAGCTAACATATTTGGTTGGATAGATGTGAGTTTGTGACCCTGGGTTTCACGCTTTAGCGATCGTCAGACAAACTGATCAGGTATATATATATATTTATAACTGTTTATATGTTATTTTTATAGATATAAATATATATATATATATATATATATATATATATATATATATATATTGTATAAAATGACGTATAATGATTATATCATAATTATACATCATTTTTATCGACACAGATTATTTACGTAATTGCAGTTTTAATAAAACAGAATTAATTACATTTACCGGACTGAATGTTGGAGGAATTTCGTAGACAATATGCGTTCTCCGACAGGAACCGAATCTGTATTGCGATACGGAAACCGTCATTTGACCTGACGTGCTACAGAGCTACAGAGAAGCGTCTCTAGAAAAATCCGAATTCCTTCCACTCTCATCTTTCCTGTAACACTTATTATTTCCCAAGCCAGCATACTCGACTAAAAATATGCTGATTTTTCAAAAAAACGGTTAAATCCATTACATATTTTTGAAGATATATTCACACATCATACACACACACACACACACAACACATATATATATATATATATATTATTTTTAAAACATATTTTTTCTTGAAATTCAATTATTTTCTTCTCATATTTGAAATGAAAAGAGCCGAAAACCGGATTGTATTTTTGAAAAATGAGAACTCTTAAATAACGAAAGATGAAGATAAAAAAAAAGTTAACTTTATCCTCTACTTCTTCATGGAGCACTATTTTTTCAAAATAAAAACAAAATACTAAAGATTACGGATTATTTACCTAATTGTTTTTTTCCTATAGATATGAATATCTGTTTTTTTTTTCTTTTTTTACACACACACACACACACACACACACATATATATATATATATATATATATATTATGAAATGGACAAAGTCCGACAATTTTTTTAAGACATTTTTATGTTATACATTCTTTTTATAGAAATAAATATGGATGAATTGTTTATAATAAAACAATAATCATATAAATGAAACAATAATAAACATTGAAACTGATGAAATAAAAAACATTAAACTGCTTTAAATTTTAAATTTATTTAAACATTATAAAAAATTAAATATACCTTCAATATATATATATATATATATATATATAGTTTTTATCTATTATTCTTTTAACAAACTTTGAATTGTAGCTCTTTGTGCCCGCCACATGTTTTGACTGACCCTTCAATCACCCGATGAAGTGTTATGAACGTTATCAAACTTAAAAGCATTGATAACCCAATGACATCCTAAAGACGAGCAACAAATTTAATCTTACATTGCCTTAAAAAAGAGACAAACGGAAAAACTATTCTTAGCCAACGTTTTTCGTTCTTTTAGAGACTATCAAAGCAATGAAGGAATTATTTTGTTGTATGTGTTTATATATATATATATATATATATATATATATATATATATATATATATTGTGTATTTAGGCAGCATCTTTTCATTCATACACGTTTCATTAAATAATATAGACAAGTGTTGTCTATTTATTTTATGTAAATTTTTTTCGTAACGCCTAAGTTTAATAACATTATCGTTGAACGAAGAAAGAAATTCACAATATTGATCCTTATTTTTTAATACAATCTAAGCTTTCGGCTTGCATAAGCCATTATCAAAGATGTCAATTACAACATATTAAGCAATACACGGACAAGAGAGTGATGATAGTCTGCGATTGTTTACATAGATGATTTCTAAGCAACGATAAACACGTGCATATAAGACGCTAGAAGCGAAAATCACACCGCATCTCATGACGTCACACATGACCACGCGCGAGTGAATTGGAGAAATATGAAGTATGGGAAATCGTTGGTATAAACCACTGGCTTCTGTTACCAATTAAAGACATTTAAGAATATTTGTAGAGATGCCATAATTGATTTTGTTTAGGTTGGGTTTCAACTGTTATGCTTCAAGGATTTTTAGTTTTTGTCTACTGTTTTTCATACATACATATATATATATATATATATATATATATATATATATATATATATATATATATATATAAATATAGACTGTCACTGGTTTATCAAGGCTTTAAAAATTTGGGAACGCTCATGAATGTTCATCAGGTGACTGAAAAGGTTAGTCAAAAAATGACAAGGATCCAAAATGTCATAATTCAACGTCTAGCAAAAGTAAACGATTAATATTCAAGAATTTTTTTAAAGAACAATGACATGCACGCCTTTGTATATAAACAGGTGTAACAGGCAATCTAGGATTTATTTTAAATCCTAGATTGTCTTGAAACTCTATCAGGGAACGAAACGCGTCCGACAAGAATATTTTTTTCTCTTGTCTCATTTTTTTTTCATTTTGTTCCTTTACAGATACGCTCTATCTGAAAATAATTTACTGACTTCACAATACCAAAACATTCTTTTCCAGATATCATCCCCCAGCCAAATATTCGAATGAAACTAAAATAAAAGCGAAACATGACCGATTTATAACCATTACCTTGTTCGTTTCTTTTTATTCTTATGTCGGATTTAACCTATATATATATATATATATATATATATATATATATATATATATATATATATTGTACCGTTCCATGTGTGTGTTTGTGTGTAGTGTGTGTGTATCAATGTATATAATATGCAAATATTTTTTGGTACATATAGATGTAGAAAATATTGATTTTTACCGATATTTCCTTGAAGACTTTTGGTAGGTAACACTGTCGAATCATCATCCATCGCCAGATCCAATTCTGCGATAAAGTTGGGCCACCTTATTCCTAGACATAGACTGACCGGGCTGAAGTACTTACGGGCCCTTGATAGAATTCTTTTCAAAGGTCCTAAAGTACTTCAGGCCGGTCCAGTTTCTTTTGACAAGGCACGCGTATCAAATACAAACTGCTTCTTATCTCCCATAATCTTCTACCAAGGACTGCTCAGGAAACAAGGGAGACAATTCAAAAATCACAATTTGTCTATGATGTGTGATTTTTAAGTACCGTTATGCAGAAATGCACTTCTTTTTAACTTTTTTTTTTAACATGATTTGATTTGTGTGAATTTTTTTATTAGTGGGTTTCGCAAAATACAAAAGGCAGAGAAAGTAATTCTTTGCCCATGAACTTACAAAATGCTCTTAGAAGATGTAACAATGAAATGGCAGACAATAGTGAAAAAAAACATAGTTGTCTTTGATTTTCTTAATAAATTCAACAAATATTTTATCCCAAAATTTTTGATAACCTCAGCCAGGTCAAAACAACGAGGAACAAGATTCAAAGCAAAAACATACATCATTAAATTTCATATACCTTATATATCATTGATTGATTTTATTTAAGGGTTATCAACCTTTTGCTGGTTATTTAAAGGAAGAAGCTATTTTAAATTATAAGCATGTTTTGGAGGCACGGTAGAGTAATGGATAGCGGCTCGCATTGAGGAATTGGAGAGCCGAGTTCGAATTCCAGTCGAATCCATTACATTCACTTATGTGCTAATACCCTTGGGAAAGGTATGAATCCTCTTCTTCTCCCATCAACTATGGGTAAATAGTAGGACAGACCGGGTTTTATAGGCTTCGGTGGCAACTGGTCTACCGCAGAAAGAAATGGCAACCTACTGCGGGAAAAATAAACTGCCTCGTCAATCATGTATCAAAAGATACATCATTGCCTAAGCGTATATCACGCATGGCACATAACTGACTGATGTTTTCAAGATAATAATGATAGTAAATCCAAAAAGTGTCCTACTAATTAACCCATAACTGGGGGAGATAAAAGGTGGATTTAAAAGTTTATCGAGAATATTTGCGCGTATATGAATATAACGAACTCAGCTGAAATTGAAACTTGGCCCTTCGATTTCAGATTCTGTGCCGTTAACCTACACCGCGCGTACATGCAAGCTTACCGCACTTGGTATTCTCAAGCAGTCACCTATCTTGGTACTGACCAAGATCCATGTTGCTTAACTTCGGTGATTGTACAAGAACCGGTGTTTCAAAGTGATATAGCCTTATATATCCTTAAAACTTCCGCTGCTAACTAGGGAGATCTTTATTTTTTCTTATCTTGCTCCAGCTGGCTAAGTACGGAAACCTACTTTTTTTTTGCATACCGCTGTTATGAGTAAATCGTTGCGCCATCTATCGTCAAATCACAAAGGACAATGCTTCAAAAGATATCATGTATACCCATTACTAATCTGGTAAGTAATCTGAAGGTATATCCATGAAAATGGAAGGCTGTAAAACACACTGGTGCCAGTTTTCTGTCTAATAAAATATGTAGGTTGAAATTTGGCATTTTCTTTAAAAATGGCTGACCGGATGGGGACAACACTGGACGAATTAGTAGCAGTGAAAGGGTTAAATAACACACATACAAACATATATGCGCTACGGGAAAAATGTTTATTGCCAACAAATTTAATTTTAAAAAAAAAAAAAAAAAATATATATATTTTTTTTTTTTTATGTAAAAAATAATATTTCAGTAAATCCAGTGTATTTCCTTTTATTTTCATAAATTATAAGTATTTAACTAATGAATTATCATACAACAGCATCATATTTTGTTTTCATCAATAAAACCACCAAATGCCTTAATGGCTGCTTTACAAATTCTTGGCATTCATTCCAACAGTTTTTTTTTCAGTAGTTAGCAGGCCTTTCTAAGCATTCTTAAAGCGCTGAAAAAGCTAACTCCCACTCTCTAGGAATTCTCTTCGAGCTCATTTATCAATTTCATCCCAAACTAATTCAAGGGGAGAGAGATTAAGGAGATTCAGGCAACCAACCTATAATTTCGAAAATCCTGTTCCGTTTTTTTACTCAAGATAATTTTGACATAATTTAGAAGAGTGGTTTGGATCATTGTCTTGTTGAAAGGTGAATTTTTTTCCCCAATTATGCATAAAGCAGAAGTCTGCAAAATCGAATAATATTGTTCTTTTTTAATTATTCCTTGATATAATATATATACAATATAGCATTTTCGGATACAACAATACATATATTTTCGTTGTCCTCTTATTACTAAGAGAAAAAACAAGAACAACATCTATTCTATACCTGAAGATGTCTGTAGGAACAGACGAAAGCTTGTAGTAAAAATAAGAACTAATACGGCAGAAATTTATAGAAACAAGGATCATTTCATTCATAACGGATTCGGAGGTTTTTGTATATTATTTGAATTGTTTGCGACGGTGGATTTCTCGCCAATTAAATCATTAACCTTTGCATTTGTTTTTGTGTGAATAATTCATGAATTTGTAAATTGATTGCACGTTTATATATATATATATATATATATATATATATATATATATATATATATATATATATGGCGTTCAATAACTTGCACCGATTCTAAATGTGAATTAGGTTTAAATTTAATAATGAGTTTTTCCTTTACTTTCAAATTTAACAACTTAAGTCTTTGGCAATTTTAACTATAGAGAGTGTAACAATCAAACAACGTGTTAAAGTTATCGAAGCCTATTACAATAAGGAACGTTCAAACAGAAATGAATTTCTCACACTTTGCGATTTTTAGGTCAATATAATTGACCAATCGAGAGCGCAGTTGTAAATTGAAACAAAGTGGGTCGGTGGCAGATGTGAAAACATCATTGTGTGCTCGTTTATGCCGTTCAGCTGAAAGCATTGCTGCAGTGCACGATAATGTGGCTGAAACTCCAGACCCCTCTATTCGTCATCGCGCGCAGGAAATGAACCTCTCCACAACAACGTTACATCGAATTTTGACAAAAGGTTTGTCTCTACACGCTTACAAAATTCAATTGATACAAGAACTGAAACCTACTGACCATTTGGAACGACGTACATTTGTTACTTGGGTGCGGGAGCAAAGACAAGGCGATGAAGAATTTTCGCAAAAAAATCCTTTTTAGTGATGAAGCCCATTTTCATCTTGGTGGCTTCGTTAATAAGCACAATTGTCACATTTGACCTCATGAAAATCCAACGAAGATTGTTGAAAAGCCACAGCATCCACAAATGGTCATTGTTTAGTGTGTACTTGGGTAGCAAATATATATATATATATTTGAAAGAAAAAAATATTATCAGCAATACATTATTGAGGAAAAAAATATTACCGGCAATACATTTTTGAAAAAAAATATATTACCAGCAATACATTTTTGTAGATAATTATTACCAGCAATATTTTATTACTAGCAATACATTTTTGAAGAAAAAATATTGCCAGCAATGCATTTTTTGAAAAAAATATTACCAGCAATAAACAACTTGCCGGCATTATATAACCCATTAAGGTTGATAAGCCGTAAAACAAAACGAACCGGGAACACGTGTTTCCTGTTCGCTAACACAGTAGCACCTCTGTCACTTTGTTAAGCACTTTTATAGAATCAGTGGAAGGTTACATTTTCATAGGTGCAAAAAAGAATCTCTTGAAAGTACCCGATTCTATCTTTTCTTATATATATGACTCGTAAAGCCGCCATTTTCTTTTTGAGATACTTTACATTATCCGTATTCTGCCAGGAGGAAATCCACTTTCTCGCGTGATACATGGATATTTAAAATAACCTCAAAATAACGCCTATAAAATATTTGTTGCATAGTTGTTGTTTTTTTTTCTTTCTGGTGGAGATAAAGTCTCTGATATCCTTCTATGTTTGAAGCCAATTATAACTGACATCTCGTCTACAGTCACTTTCTCACAGAAGTGTTGTGGATTCCCACTGTCTTTTCTACAAATATCTTCATGGCAACTGCTCTGAGGAGCTACTTTCAATGGTTCTCAAACTGCATGAATTTAAGCGTGCTACTATGTTGGTATATCGGTTCCAGCCTTTCACTGACGAAACGGTTAAATGTAGCCGTCACTTCTACTCCAACAACTTCTTATCTCGCACTTCCTGACAGTGGAACTCGCTTCCTCTTACTTCTTTCCATGATAACTATAATCTTCAAATATTCAAATGTAATGTCAATCAACATCTTCTGGTGTTTGATCTTGATTCCCGTCCTTTTCTTTATTCATTCCCCAAACACCCTTCTTTTCTTTTGTTCTCACTCTCTGTAACCTCCTGCGTGCTAGTGGCACTCTCGCCTTGCGTGGGGTGAAATGCTTAAAAATAAATAAATATGCATGTTTCCGAATTATTATTGTCATGTGTGTTTTTGTGAACATAAAAGGGACCTTATACATAACAATTTATCAAATGCACTTGTCATATACAGAAATAACTTCGATCATAATTTTGATCTAAAATATCCCATAATCATCAAAAGAGAAAGTAAGTTAATCAGAAGGAAAATTCTCGAGTGTTCTTCTGTCGAATCTCATCAAAATATAAATCTACGACCCGGTTTCCTTCCACTCCCACTTTTCCTGTAATAATTATTACTTCCCAAGTCAATGATTAAAAAACAATTATAATAAACATATATTTGAATACTAGGATTTATCAAACAGACAATACTTGGTTCTTGATAATAACCGAGACGATCGTAAATACCCAAATGAAAAAACAAAAGCAAATGTTGCAGTTTTTTTGGTATTGTGTACTAGTGAGCCTGTCAAAATGAGCTGACTCATTTTATAGTTCACCAATAGAAAGGTTAAACAATCAGAAAGCTCAAAATATTCAATGCGACGTGTCTAAAGGCAGCCATTTTGATTTTTCTCCCAAAATATCTCGACTGCCAACCTGATATCGAAGACGTAAAGAATTAACAGCCGCTACTTTCTCCGAATCTACATTGCCAACCTCTGATATTGAAGAGATTACGGACTTCACTAGATTCCATATTCAGAGACTACGGCAAACATGGTCAACAACAAATATTGCCGACAACTTTGTTGTTTTATCAAAAGGTTTCTGTTGTTGTGGCTATTAATCCTTATTCGTGTATTTGTCAATCCCGGGAATATAAAACTCAACATTTTATTCAATGTACAGGCGAGTTTGTTCTCGCTCCGCTGACCTTGTCTCGAAATATCTCGTTCATAAGTGACGTGGATTAAAGTTTTAGTTCGTGAATTTGGTGATACTTCGTGAGTTCAATCACTGGCCCGGCCAATGTGTACTTGGCCACAGAAGAAACGGGACAACCAGTGACTGAGCAGGATTAAATACGAAAAAGAGGAAGTATCTCTAAAACATGGTTTTGATAATAACAGCAACACTAAAAATCTGAGTAGGAATGTAAATTGTGTAAGTTCTGATATTTCCTCATCTCAGAAATTCGGACAGAAAGCTTGGCCATTTTGATTTGGATTTTCAACGAGAAATTTGAAAATAAATACCATAAGACGTTAGACAAGGGCACTTCGGCGTGGTGCAACGATTATCAAGTCTGTCTCACTACATCAATTCCGATTGATTGGTGAATTCGATCCTCACTGGGTGCTCCAACTTCCGACCTGGTGCCGCATCAAAACTACGATTAGAAAATCAGGAGGACACTTCGATTGGTACAATGGTTACCAAGCTTGTCTCGCTACATCAATCACGACTGAGTAATGAGTTCGATGCTTACTGGGTGCCTCATACTTTCGTCCTTGTGCCACATCTAAGCTACACTAAGAAAATAACCATAAAAAAATAAACAGAATGTATCGGCTGAATTAACCAAAAGCCGTTCAGATATACTCACACACACGCAAATAAACACACAGGCACGTTTGTGAATCTGCAATTTTTTTTGTGAATCTTCCCCTCCAGATTTTGTTTGAAGCTACGATCCATTTTTATATTTTTTGTCGAAGTTACGTTGCAATTTTAAAAGACATCTGTGTGTTTTTTTTATTTTTTCTCATTTAATTAAGAAAATGTACTTAAGGCCCTTCTAAGATGCCACCGCAGACTAAAAAAATACAATGATTATAGTTTAACACACACACACAAACACGCACATCTATCTATCTATCTATCTATCTATCTATTATTTCAAACATTATCATATTGAACTATTCGTATTTGAAATAGACGACTCATTTTATTTATTAAACAGT